TTTTCGGTATTACATATCTTTTGTAGATGCCTGTACTAGGCATACGTGGGTATATTTGTTGAAGAATAAGTCACATGCTATAGTTTCTTTCAAATTTTTCAAATGCATGGTTGAGACTCAATTCTCACTGCCAATCAAATTTATACAAAGTGATTGGGGTGGTGAAAATAGAAACTAGACAGAAGAGTTAGCTCATGCATGAGTTTTGCATAGAGTCACTTGTCCTCACTCGTCCGAGCAAAACGGAGTTGTTGAGCGTAAGCATAGACACCTAATAGAGTTGGCACTCGTGTTGTGACACAGGCATCTCCTCCAATCAAATTCTGGTCCTATGCAGTAACCACAACAGCATACTTGATAAATCGACTACCAACTAAGGTGTTGAATAATATCTTTCCTTTTGAGAAATTACTTAAATAGAAACCCAATTACACAACCATACGAGTCTTTGGTTGTAGATGATTTCCTCATCTGCGAGAATTTCAACCTCATAAACTGATGCCTCGATCCCAAGAGTGTACATTTCTGGGCTATAGCTCCTAACATCGAGGTTTTCAATGTCTTGAAGCCAATGGTCGTATCTTTATTAGCAGACATGTTAAATTTGATGAACTTGTGTTTCCATTTGCAGCTGTTAAACAGGATAATTCTCATCACGTGGTATCATCTCCACGATCAACATCGTTAGAGGTCATTCCTCGAAGACATTACGCACATCCTACTGCAGTGGAACCAGTTTTGGAACATTCTGGTGTATCGTCTCAAGTAAGTCATGCTAAGAATGAAGCGATTCATGATGATGAGCTGGATAATGTACTTGAATTTTCAGATCAATCGACTGAAAATTCACTCATGAGTAGTCTTCCTTTGGTCAATGCTGAAGAGTAAATGAGTCTGTTCAAAATTCAGTCGAGGGTGCGAGTGTTCCTGATCAGGTACCACTAACTAACACTCATCATATGGTTACTAGAAGCAAGCATGGCATTTTCAAGCCTAAGGTGTTCCTTGCTATGGAAGATACTGTTATACCTACTGATATTCATCAAGCTATGAAGTCGAGTCAATGGACCTCTGCTGTGCATGATGAACTTGCTGCTTTACAACGAAATGAAACTTGGACATTGATTCCATTACCAATTGGACGAACAACAATTGGCTATAAATGGTTGTTTAAACTTAAAAAAAATCACGTGGCTCAGTTCAACGTTACAAAGCCAGATTAGTGGCAAAAGGATTTCTGCAAGTACCAGGACATGACTTTAAGGAAACTTTTAGTCTCGTGGTCAAATTTCCAACTCTAAATGTTATTCTATCTATAGTTGTAACAAACAAGTGGCCACTATGTCATGTGGATGTTAATAACGCTTTTCTCCATGGTGATTTAGATGAGGAAGTCTTCATGCAACAGCCGCCTGGATTTGAGCAGTTGGCTGAGGATGGAACTAAGCTTGTATGTAAGCTTCATAAGGTTTTGTATGGGCTGCGTCAAGCTCCCAGGAACTGGAACAACAAACTGAAAGATAGCTTGTTACAGATGGGATTTCAAGTGTCAAGGGCAGATGCATCTTTGTTCATTTCACTTGCTCAAGGGGAAGTTATCTATATACTTGTCTATGTCGATGATATTGTGATCACTGGTCAGTCAGTTACTGTAATTGAACGAGTGGTTCAGTCACTCAAACTTAATTTCTCGTTGAAGGATCTTGGCGAGTTAAATTATTTTTTGGGGATTGAAGTCCAACGCAGTACTAGTGGCCTTATGTTATATCAAAAGAAGTTTATTTCCAATTTACTAGAGAAGACAGGTATGGCAAGGGCAACTCCTACCAGTACACATATGGTTATATCCAATAAACTTCAAAGAGATGCTGGAAAACCGATTGAAAATGCTCGAGAATTTCGAAGTATGGTTGGTGCATTCCTCTATGCATGTCACACAAGACTGGACATAGTGTATAGCGTGAGCAAGGTTGCTCAATTTATGCATGAACCACGTGAGAGTCATCTGCAGGCTGCCAAACGTATTCTAAGATACCTAGCCGGCACAATTGAGTATGGTCTGATCTTCAAGCCATCAAAGGAAGCTCTAAGAGTTGTTGCATTCACGGATGCTAATTGGGGAGGTTGTGTAGATGATCGAAGGTCGATGTCAGGTCATTATGTTTTGCTTGGTGGTAACTTGGTGTCATGGAGCACAAAGAAACAGAAAGTTATCTCCAGATCCACCATGAAAGCTGAATATCGCAGTCTTGCAGATGCAGTTGCAAGGTTACTTGGATAGATGCATTGTTGAATGATATTGGAGTAACACAGCAGGAAAAACAAATCGTTTGGTGTGATAACACAAGTGCCATATTGCTTAGTGCGAATCCTGTCCAACATGCACAATCTAAAAATGTCGATTTAGATGTGCATTTTGTCAGGGAAAAAATTACAGGAAACAAATTATATGTTAGCTATGTTCCTGCTGCACATCAACTTGCGGATGGGTTCACAAAGCCTTTGTCTTAAAATAGCCTTTACAGCGTTTCGAGAGCAACCTAAATGTTATACAAGTCATGTACAGGTGCACTGAAAATGCAATGGAATTCAATAATTGTTTTTTAATTTATTCTTGTTTTTTAACAATCACAAGCTGGTGTCCCCAACAACAAGTCCTGTCCCACCCAGCGATTGGACTTTTTTTGACACATTGCGGGTGGAATTCTGTATTGGAAGCTGTTTCGGAAAATGTGCCTTTAATTTGCTAACCTTTCTTCGCAGATTAACAGATGAGCTGTCGATATGCATGCAAGACATGGGGCAATGCGATGGAAATCAACCCGGACGTAAAGCGTGACAATGTGGAGAGTCTTGTTAGAGAGATTATGGAAGGAGATGATGGGTAAAGGATAAGGCAAAAGGCCTTGGAATGGAAGAAGAAAGCTGAAGCAACCATTAATAATGGAGGATCTTCCCTAACCAACTTTGATCAATTAAATTCACTTTTGCGTATGTAATCATCACTCTCTTTGTCAGCATCCACTAATTTGAAATTTAGTTTAAAAGTTATATTTTGACTCAGACGTAAGATGTCTTTAATAACTAATGACTAATGAGTGATATGTGTTTTCTTATGTGGATTCTGTTTCAGCACGCACAAAAGAAATTTTCATAATATTAGTAATTTTTTTTCAAAAATAAAAAGATTGATATATATTTTTAAGATACGAAATATTGATCTCTAAATTTATTCGTTATTTTAAATTAATTATTTAACTGTGATTTATCCATGTCTTTCATTATTTTTGACTATTCTAAGAATATCTTAACACCCTTTAAATCGATTGAAACATGAAGAAAACAATAAAAGAGAATTGTGTGAAGAATAAAAATAAAATTCAATGTAAAAATAGTTTTAAACTTTTTTTTTCTTATTTTAACACTTTAATTAATTTGGTCTTTTATGTGCCAATTATTAATTAGATGAAAGGATTAATAACTTTTTAATGGCGTCATATGAAAATATCAAAACTGATGATATAGAAAGGGTAAATTATATAATTAGTCATCCAATTATCATTTTGATTCCGTTTTGGCTATCCAACTATTTTTTAAAAAAATTGTACACAATTTTACGTTTTAATTCTTTTTGATCACTCGTTATTACAAAATAAACAAAACAATTGACGTGATAACTTTTTTTAATGGTAACGTGACATTATCTTATGGTGAAATGTTAACATCTTCATTTTTTTTAATAAATGGTGATCAAAATGGAACCAAAACATAACTTTAAGTATGGTTTTAGAGAAAATAACAATTGAATGATCAAAACAAAACTAAAGTAAAAGTTGAGTGACTAAATACACACTTTACCCTCTAATCAAATTTTAAAGACCAAAACTGAAACTCGAATACAATTAGGAGTTAATTTTCCTATTAACTCTATTATTTTAGTCAAAACAAAAATATATAGTAATTACTTTATCAAATCGGAGGAAACACAATAGCAAGACGTATAAAAATTTCAGTTTCATTTCAATCCAACGGCGGAAAACATAGGTTGCAAGTTGAGAACAATCTACCAAAAATCAGGGAATTGAACTCTATATTTAGAGGCGCTATGTTTACCTCATCCTTTCTCTTCTTCTCACTTAGAGCAAATTACTTCGTAGCCAAACAAGGTTTACTCTTCTTTTCTTGCCCTACTTTTGCACTTAAATTCTCCATTTTTATTCAATTCTTTTGAATAGATGTACAGGTGCTTTAGCTCTAGAAGTATGCCATATATGTTGAAAATTTTAATCTTATATCAATTATTTGGTTTCTGCTTTTTTAATTTATGTTTTTTAATTAGATTTATTGTTATCGACAATTTTGGTTTCTGGGTGATGGATAGTTAACCCTGCTGGATAGAGAATTTAGGAGTACTTTGGTTAGCTTTTGATTAAGTATTTTATTTTTAAAAAATCTTCCTTTTCCTCTAGAAAAGGAAGAAAAATGGTTTTTTGGATTCGTTAACAGGATTAGCCCGACAATAAATGTGTTTCGTAAAGGATTGGTAGTTGAAATCCTTAAAGAAAGCAAGATGATAATTAAATGAAAACTAACTTTTGAGGGCATGAATTCTTAAAGCAATGCAAGCTGACCTTGAAATGGTGAATAAAAAGAGGTGTTTAATGCCGTCCAAATCAATTCCTTTGTTTTTAGGGTCAGGAAATAGTCAGTGAAGTTTTGCTGAAACTAGTTACTAGTTTATTTTTGTTTTATTTTCTCTCTATTGCATATAGTCATAAATGATAAATTGTTTGAGTTGGCGTGAGCAATAGTGTTGAGAACAACTTCTGTATTCTTGACATTATTTTGATTGGAATACTTTTTGTATTGAATCATTGCTTGATGAATTGAAAGTCGTATTATTTTATTTTTATTGACCTTTTTTTTACTATTGGATTGGATTAGTTCATTTTATGGTGCTGTTGGTCCATCAATTTTGATATATATTTTATCTATTTCAGCCTGCTACACGCCATTCAGCATAAAGTTAGAATTCAGGTTTTCTATCCTCGTATTGGATGGCCATTATACCATGTGGAATCACTTTTGGTGCCCAGTGGAGTATTCGTCCTCAGTTTATTATAAGTCCTTATGTCCCAAACCGAGTAATGGCAGCCAAATTGAGGTAAGTTTTCTGCTTAAATCTTTTGTATTTAGCAAGGGTATTGTTGAATTAGCTTATCTGACTACACATATTTTCTTCTAGACCTTTATATGGATTTGGAACTGCTGAATTTGCAGTCTCATTGCATCTGGCTAGTTTTGGTTTCTGCACGAGCATTCATTTGCATTCGTGAATTTGATGCCTGGCATATTGGTGAACATAGTGATTACATGGGAAGATTTACCCCCTTTGTAGTCACTCTTTTTGATTGGATTGTATTTCTGCTGGTTTATAGTTGACTAAATAGAGATACCAGTGCAAAAACGCGTGATGCTTTGCCTCTAACCATAATATGCTATTTGTTGGTAATCATGGAAGAATAATTTTGATGTATGTTGCTCTTATCCAGAGTCACAAGAACAGTGAGTAACTTGGGAGCATCAAATTCAGGCTTATTTTCACGTGATTCCTTACCATTGTTATCCTTCATGAGGTCATCTCAATCACATCGTAGTAGGGGAGCACGGTTCATTGTTAGAGCTGAAACTGTGAGTGTAAACTACTTCCAATTTCTTTTGCTTTTGTTTTGTTTTGTATTTTTTGGGTGAAAATTTAGGCTTTAATGTTTTTTTATCAGTTAATTATACATTTTGAAAATTTTAGAATGCATTTCATATATTTATTGCTGTATTTTGGCATCTGGCTCGCTATTCCATCCTCAATTTAGCATGATTATGTTTTATAATGAGCAGGATTATTATACTATCCTTGGGGTGTCGAGAAATGCAAGCAAATCTGAAATTAAAAGTGGTATGCCGACTTACCAAAACTTGTTCAGTACTGTTCTATTTATTCCTTATATGATTTTTTACTGCATTTATGTGCTTAATTTTTGTTTGCTAATATAATTTCTTATTATATGTTTTTTCAACTAAATGAAGTAATAAGTTTACCTTGAATTGGATTAAGGGTTTCTTCATGTAAAGTTTTAAAACACTGATGCACAAGCTTTAATTTTAAGAGAGGTAGGTGTTATTCTCATAAATCAAATAGAATATAGAGAGGTTGTATTTATGTGAAGTGAGGTTAAGACAAAGTCCAGGATATAAGTACACACAGTGAGCATGTATCGAAGTTGAAAACGTCACTTCAGTTTTTTGTGTTAAATTAAGGTACATATTTACATGGGAATAAAATGAATGCTTGCAACTTTTGGAAAGAAATGTTAGACAACGGTTCAACCAGGATGATTAATGATTGGTATTCACATTAGGTCTTTGTCAATTTCGAAATTGGGAAAATTGGTCCCTCTCTTGACAATCTCGAAAGTGAGCAATTAAGGACAATTAGTCACAGCATTGATGTTCTCCATTGATTTTACATAATTTTGATTGACGTAATAAAAAATTTAGCTCTCAATCTTTATATATTATGTCAATTTGGTCTTAATTCTAAAAGTACAACAAATTTAGCCCTCAACATTTACAAAATGTATAAATTTTGTGTTGAATTATTTAGAATCAGGATGAAATTGACATGATGCATGAACATTGAAGGCTTATTTCTTATTATGTCAATCAAAATTATGTAAAATTGACAAAATATTAATTTCGCGATTAATTGTCCTTAACCACTCACTTTCGAAATTGATAGGGACTAAATTGCTCCTTTTTTTTTCTAGATTGGTCAATTTGCCCAATTTTGAAATTGAGAGGGACATAAGAGATCTTTTACCTATTCACATTTGTGGTCTCTTCTAATGAAAAGGAAGTATCTTTTAGGTGTTTCAACTATTTGAAGGAAAATTTATTGTTGTCCTGCTTTGATAAGCTTAAATCCCCCTCGTTGTTACTTCTTGCTTTTTGTCTTCCATATTATATTATCTTACTTTTTTTCTGTTGGTTTTTTCAGCTTATCGTAAGCTTGCACGAAGTTATCATCCGGATGTGAACAAGTCAGTTGATAACCTTATACTTCTTGCCTTTTATTTATATGGTTCTGTTTGTTGCACTTTTATATATTTCATTATATTTATATGTGATGTGCAGTGCTATTAAACTTGAACTTGAGTTCGATGTGTTTCAGATAAAAACATGATATGATTATATCAGATAAAAACCATATCATTTAACTTCCTTACTGAGGTCTGGGGACTAGGTTTCATTAGTTCTTACATGACACTTCTTCTAAAAGGTTCCGTTGAAAGGCAAGTTAGAATTCTCTGAGAGATCATATTAATGAGATGGGTTGACATCCACTTATTGTCATCATAATATCCTCATCTCAGGATGGAGGAATCAGCTTGTGATGATTTCAGGCAGGGACTTCAAACAAAAACTTTATCCAAAATGAGATCTTACATTGTATAGAATGAAAATGTAGTTGCTGAAAGAAAGAGAAAATGGAATAATAGTCATAGATTTCCCAAGTTAGGTGTTTGTTGAGTTTTGTTTATATATTTTATATATTCGTAGAAGCAGTTGCTGAAATGAAGACTATAGAACAGTATCTTGAAGGTCTCTGACTCTCACTGAATACTTTTCTTGAAAGTTTTGTTGTTTTCAGTTTTTGTTGCTAGTTAAATGTCTTCTTTAACTCACGAATGCTTGAACATTAGTTCTTTCCCCCCTTCTGATCATCATATATTATTCTGCAGAGATCCAGGGGCAGAGACAAAGTTCAAGGTAATTAGCAATGCATACGAGGTAAGAGTACCATGTTGGGCTTACTATGGTTTCTTTTAGATGCCTAAAATGCAACAGTCCTGAATCGCTATGGTCATATCTGATCTTTGAGGTGCATTATATTGCTTAGGTATTGTCTGATGACGAGAAGCGACCTCTATACGACAAATATGGGGAGGCTGGGCTTAAAGGTGCTGGTATGGGAATGGGGGTAAGTTAATTCTACTGATGCTGAATAAGCTCATTCATTTTAAAATTACGTGACCTATATTATCTCAATATTATTTCTTTCAGGCATTGATGTCATGTTTGCTTTGACAGGATTTCAGCAATCCTTTTGATCTGTTTGAGTCGCTATTTGAAGGCATGGGTGGTATGGGCATGGGCATGGGCGGACGAAGTGCCAGGAATAGAGCTGCTGATGGCCAGGATGAATATTACAGTCTTGTATTGAATTTTAAGGAAGCGGTGTTTGGAGTTGAGAAAGAAATTGAGATAACCCGACTAGAAAGCTGTGGAACTTGCAATGGTTCTGGTGCAACAACTGGAACAACACCATCCAAATGTACCATATGTGGTGGGCAAGGCCAGGTTATCTCATCTGCAAGGACTCCACTGGGGGTCTTCCAGCAGGTAATGACATGCTCTTCATGTGGCGGGACGGGCGAAATTTCTACCCCATGCAGTACATGTACTGGTGATGGGCGGGTAAGGAGAACAAAGAGGATTAGCTTGAAAGTGCCTGCTGGTGTGGACTCTGGTAGCCGTTTAAGGGTCCGGTCTGAAGGAAATGCTGGAAGGAGGGGTGGGTCCCCTGGTGATCTGTTTGTAGTCATTGAAGTCATCCCAGACCCTGTCCTAAAACGGGATGATACCAACATATTGTACACCTGCAAGGTGTCATATATAGATGCAATACTGGGAACAACAATCAAGGTTCCAACTGTGGATGGTATGGTTGATTTGAAGATACCGGCCAGAACCCAGCCAAACACCACCCTCGTAATGGCCAAGAAAGGAGTTCCTGTTCTAAATAAAACCAACATTAGGGGTGATCAGTTGGTCCGTGTCCAAGTTGAAATTCCAAAAAGATTGAGCAGTGAAGAGAGGAAGCTTATCGAGGAGCTTGCCGACTTAAGCAAGGGTAAGACAGCAAGTGGCAGGAGATAATTTCTGGGCCCTTTTGGTGTGCGCTATTTGCCACGAAATCGTATGCACCGTCTAGTGTCTGTGGCTTCTGATGTCGGAACTACCACTACATGCAAATGCACACATTGCAGTTCTGAAAATGCTTGAACTACGAAAGCTGAAAGCAGCTAAATTTTGGAGTAGTAGGTAAGGTAAGATTATATTGTGATAGTTTTGCCCCATAAAAATGAATCTCGGTGGAAACAGGGAGGTGTAAGAAGAGATGGACTTTAGTGATAAATCCCTGGTTGATTGCAGTCATTTATTAGCCATTCTTTGAGATTGAACTAAAATCTGCGAAACAATGTTACCCTTCAGTTTTGTCTTTTCTATTATTAGGAATGAATGAATGAATGATGATGAAACTTCCCTCGTATATTTGGACAAGCCCCACCTAATTTGATATTTTGATAATAAAAATATTTTTTTATTTAAATTCATCATAAATATTATTTATGAGTAGGATTCACTTATATGATAAGTTTTATATAGAAATATAATAATTGATGAATCAAAATAGTTTTGGGTGGTCGTGGTGGTGTTCTGGAAGCAAATGCAACAGAAGTCCATATTGGCTGCCTGTTCCTTCTTTTTATAGATATTTTCAGTTATTCACACTATGAAGTTTATGTATATTAGTGGCCCACCACTAATCAATTAACGTGAAGTGAGAGCAATGCTAACATTTTCTTTTTCTATGTTGGACCAAATCACCTTGAAAACAAAATATAAGGTGAAAAAGATATTGAAAATATTTAATTATAAAACGATAAGAAACATTTTAGAATGGATGAAAGACTTTTTATAATGAAGAGTAAATTACACAAATGTCACTATTATTTGAGTAAGTTTTTGTTTCACTCACTGAAGTTTTAAAAGTAACAAATTGGTCACTAATATTTTTTGATTTATAACAAATCAGTCACTTGTCATTAACAACCAATACCGAGGATGATGGAATATTTATATGGCGCGTTAAACCGGCGACCTGGCATCATTTTGCTATATAAGACAACTACACTTATCAGGTTTGACTCTCCAAACTTTTGACTGTCACTCACAATCCTAAAACCACTCCCTTAGTTCCACTGCCGATAACCTCAGTCACATGGCTCAATGGGAGAGTGCTCGTTTCAGCTTGAATGGAAACACACATTAATGCTAAAAAAAGAGGATTTTTTAATTGACATTGAAGTCAATGACTAAACTCAATTCTATGGTGAATTTCAAACGGATCATGGATGGAACCATGACATTACTGCTTAAACAAGAGAAACTTTCCATTAACTTTGAAGTCTTCTTTCTAGTTCAAATCTGGTTATAAATTATAATCCTCTAACACGGACACAGTCCCTCAAACCAACATGATCTGTACTTTTAGTTTTGCCGATTTTGTTTTCTTTGTACAGCTTCTGATATTGTCCTCCTTGATCACGTGTGCTGAAAAAATGTTACATTTTAGTATATGTTTCTTAGTGTTTTTGATAAGGGAACAACAACTGAGATTTCACGCTGACTATGTCAACACAATTGCGTCTTTGGATAAACTAAACTTGGATGAATCATTCAATGACCTGTAAAGCCAATACCTCTTCTTAAACTTTACTTACATCACCACTATCTCGTCAACACTTTTGGAATATAAGTTTCAATGTGTTATTTTATGTGTTATTGGCCATTCTTCTAACCAGCAAATGAGGCACGCCTGCCGGTGTTTCTCGTCTTTTGCTTTAGCTAACATCATTGATAACACCTTCTCATGAAGATGAATTAAAAGTTTGCACCGTATTAAAAGAAAGAAACCAAATTCAAACATTAAAAAGAAAATAACACAAGTTAAAGGGGGGGGGGAAACCTAATTTTTTTCACGATGTTCTCAATGCAGAAGCTAGCAAGATTTCTATCTAAGTACTTCAAAGTCAATGGAAAGTTCCTCTTGTTTTAGCAGTAATGTCGTGTTTCCATCCAAGTTGAAGCGACCACTCTCCCATTGAGCCATGTGACTGAGGTTATCATCATCTTCAAGGTTAGCTGCGGTGATGAAATTGAGGGAGTGGTTTTAAGGTTGTGAGTGATCGTTTAAAGTTTTGGGGAGTGAAACCCGGTATATGTGGCTGTCTTATGTGGCAAAATGATATCAAGTTGTCAGTTTAACACGTTATATCAGCATTTTGTCACCCCCAATACTGATCATTAACGGTGAATGACCGATTTGTTACAAATCAGAAATATTAATGATCAATTCGTTACTATTAAAACTTCAATGGAGAAAACAAAAACTTAATCAAATATTAATGACAATTTCTGTAGTTTATCCTATTAAGAAAGATTAGACTATGATGTCTTAGGAAAATAATCTTTGTGGAGTATTATCAACTCCACTAATCTCGATTAAGATTAAGATTGCTTGGAAATATGTGCAGTGGATAAAAGCTTGTATATTTATAAACTGAACAATCTAAATTAATAAGAAAAATATTCATATTGGGAATTAAATATAAAACCATAATTATTTCCATCAAGTTACATTCACATGTTTAATATTTTACATAAATTAATGGGTCCTTCCAAAATTAATTATAGAAAATCAAACAATAAAAGAACTGCGTCCTAAGATTCTCAATAGACTAGAAGTCTTAAAATTTACTGACAAAAATAATGTCTGTCCTTCACAGAAGGGAGTCAGTGTGTGATTCTTACAAGTTATTATGATCCATCTGAAATATTAAAAACACCACATCCTTTATTTTTCTTCTCCAACTGATTCCTTTCTCAAAGGTAAGCAACTTTCTTCCTAAACCAATTTGTAAGTTGTTTTTATGTTTTTCTTGAGATTCTAAGCTTTGGGTTTTATTCAATTTTTCGCTTGTTGTTTTACTCTCTCGATTTGGTTAAATTCATTGTTTTTGGGCTGGTTAAATTCAAGGAAAATCTCTGGAGGAAAAAAAAGATTGACCTTTTTTTTAAAAGCTGCTCCTTTTACTTGTTGGTCCGAGACTTGTTTCAGTACTGAAACTAGATTTCCCGTTCTGATTCTTCTTAATTCAAACATTTTTGGTTAATTTGGAACTGAACTTGTTTTATTTTACATTAATTTACTGCATTTACTATTCTGCAATCTGGAAAGGCCCTTTTGAGAGCTTATTGTGATTTTGTTTGACATTATCTACCTGAAAAGTAATATTTGGTGGATTTTTTTTATCTTTTCATTGACTTATTACACCTATTGATTCTAGTAACTTCATGTTATAACTGAAATCACAGTTTCAATTTTCCTGTTGATGTCTTTTTGTGTGTGTGTGTGATTTCTCAGTTATGCCAAAAAAAATGAGAAGGAAAGAATGATTTTGCAAAGATGAAAGGTTCTGTGAGACAAAGTAAAGTACTGGTATATATTTTTTTCATTGTACCGTTTCCAATCACCAACCAAAAACTTTCTGGAAATGATGATTGTCAAAATTTATAGAAACGTCATTGATTTGAAATTTGTAAAGTGAAATGAAGTGAATTGCCTGCCATTTCCTCCTACCCCCAAAATTTATTGAAGCACTAATAAATGCTGTAAAATTCCTGATGTGAGTCAAGAACAGAAGGGGCGGCGCATGAAAGTTGCTTGTTTTTTCATTGTTCGATGATTGTCCTAATAGGAACTTTTGTGTATGGAACTCTCTGTTTTTGTTATGTTTTAATTTTTTCGCTCTTTAGCAATCATTGATCTTACTGCCAACGTTGCTCAGACTCCGATTTGATGTTGTTTTTTATTTTACTTTTAAATTTGTTGGACATGTGCTCCGTAGGTAATGGCTACTACAAAAAGGAAGGGTTGGAGAATTATAGCTCTGCCTAGATTTTCTAGTTATCATGTGTAATATGCCTTAATATTTATGATTTGATGCACATTTTTGCAGAGATGGTCGCCTGTATATATGTAAGAGATTTTGTATTTCATGGCATTGATCATTGGGTGCAACTTTGCTGAAGATGGAACTATTTCTTGGTGCACTTCTGTCGGCTTGTTTACTCTCATTTGTATCTGCTGATTTTCAAGGTTATTCTTGTTCGACTTTTATTCACCAAACGTGTATAAATGCTCCTGTGGGCCAAATTTTCTCAGTATTTCACTTCACTTGTAGATTTGACAATAGATATCATTCTCAATAGGCATGTGTGAGCTTGTCCTTTGGTTTATTAGAGTTAAATTTACCTTGTTAAATTTCGTCATAGTAATAGTCTTTGGAGTGTCAGGCCTTATATGTGCTAAAGTGCTTAGATATAAAGAGATGATGTTACTTGCCAATAAGCTCAAATGGATTCACGAAAAGATGCCTGAAGCTTTTCTTCTAGTTCAATAAGATTTACCACTCTAGGGACTATCAATTGTTATCAATCAGATGAATTGCCGACACCTCTAGAATTGGTTGCTTAGTTATTTTTTATTGAACTGTATGGCACTTCGTTTTCTCTACTTAAATTTTGGAGTTGAGTTATGAGAAACTTGAGCTGATTCGTGCCTGATATTCTAAATAATGAGAAGTTATAATAACTCACTTCTGTAGAGAACCATGTAGAGCTGCATGCACGAGTTCATGTGCATGTTTTATAGTGAGATGATCTTCCATTCTAATTTCATGTCCTTTTCTTCCCTTGGTTGATTTTAGATACTGATTCCTTAGGCCTCGGTTGGCCAGAGGGTTTATTTATTTGCTTAATTGTATTATGAAAATCTATCACCTGTTCCAGGAGATGCTTTAGTTGCATTAAAGAGCTCACTCCATGCTTCAGCCGATCAGTTGAAAGATTGGAACCAAAATCTTGTTAGCCCCTGCACTTGGACAAATGTTAAGTGTGATCCTAGTAATAAAAATGTCATATCTGTGTAAGTGATTGGCATATTTTTTATTTCTCTTTGAATATGACTCATAGTTGCAAATGTATGCGTGCATGATTTCATTGTTCATTAAATATTATTTTGTTTCATTACTTTTCTGTAACATAAATGCATGTTTATCTTAATATCGTCAATTTGCTTTCAGGACTTTGTCATCCATGAACTTTTCTGGCACATTGTCCCTAAAATAGGAGTTCTGCAAACTCTTTCCTCACTGTACGTATAGAACATGTATTTTAGCAATTAATAGATTCCCTTGTTTCTTGATATATGGAATTTTTTCTGAGTAGTTCCATCATTGTTTATACCTGATTCTTGGGTTCATAAAAGAATTCTTTGCTTTCTAACAGTGCACGAACCTATTGATTGATGTCATACATCATTATAAGGTTCAATGTTCTTGTATGGTAGGCCTGAATAATCTCTTTGAAATGATATGGATATGTTGGAGGCATCTGAAAAATCTGAGAAAAATAAGTAGCTTACTAATTAACATT